TTTTAAAAGTATTTGTTCATCAACTATTAGGTTATTCTTTGATTTTAGTTGTTGAATTATGATAATTTCATTTTCTCTTTTATTTAATGTACAATAAAGTATTTTAAACATATATTATTTAAATATTCATTATTTAATTTCTTTTTAATTTTGATGAATGTTAAATTTCTTCTTCTTTATTTTATTATTTTAAGGAGAATACATAATTACCACTGTATTACTATTGGCTAATATTCTTTTTAGAATCAACCACTAGACCCTTTTTCTTTGATAATCTTATATTATCAAATATACTTGTATTCTAACAAGTAATAATAACATCTTTATAAATGCCCATTTGTTTATTGTCAATAATACCCCATCATTGTACATAATAAACATTGTTATTCTTGTAGTATTGATTAAGATGTTTTCTAACCAAACGCAACATCATAACAGTCCATAACTGGTGGAATTGAATGATGAAAATATTTTAGTGTTCTGTGTGGTGTCTCTGACGTGCTACTTTCGAATCTGATATGAAAATAAGAAATGAACAAATAGAAAATAAAAATGATAAATAAAATAAAAAATGAACTAATTATAGATAAATAACAATAATATTAAATATTATTATTTTATTATTAATTTTATTATATATTATTGTTATTTAAAATAATAAAAAATAAATAACATTTAATTTAATGAATAAAATGAAATGATGTTTATTAAAATAATAAAATAATAAATAAAATGAGTATTATAAACATGTATTTAATTATTTAATCATCTGATTTTAATTTGATATTAATTAAATTAAAATGGAAGAGTTAATAAACAAGAACAATCAATTAATTAAAGAAGTAGTAGAAACACTTCCAAATATTCAACAATCAATTGATGATACTACTAAGAATTATCAATATTATTTAGGAAGTATTAAAAATGAAATATTTGAAATACAAGACAATGAAACATATTCAGAAGCTATTAAAAGAGGAGAAGGAATATTTGATAGGATTGATGAAACAGAAAGAAGAAGAAAACTAGTAATAGAAAAAAGTCAAGAAACAAATAAAACAATAGAAATAATAAAGAATCAAATGAACAAAATAATAGAAGAATGTAATTATGATGAAGAAATACTAAGTAAAACACGGAATGAAATAATAGATAAAATCATTTCAATTGAAGAAATGGTCATGAAAGATAAAATATTCAGAACACCAAAAGAAAGTGATAAAATCACACAATCATTTGATAAAACGAAAAAAGAATGGGAAACATATTATAGTGATTATTTTGAAAGGAAGAAGAAACAAGAAGAAGAAAAAGAGAGAAAGAAACAAGAAGAAGAAAAGAAGAAACAAGAGGAAGAAGAAAGAAGAAAAGAAGAAGAAAGAAAGAAACAAGAAGGAGAAAGATTAAGAATGATGAATGGAATGAACACAATGGAAGAAATGAAACAACTAGAAGAATGGACAAATAGAAAAGTATCAAATATACTATTTGATTCAGATATTGATAATTGGAATATTAATACATCAGTATTTAATCAAAGAATAATAAATAAAGAACATATAATAATTATTATTGAAGATGAAGATGGAAATAAATTTGGAGGATATGTTAATGAGAAAATTGATAAAGTTTATAATTTTATAAATGATCCAAAGTCATTTTTATTTTCAATAGAATCAAAAGGAAGAATACAAGGAATGATGAAATTTGATATTAATATACCACGATATGCATTTTATTTATACAGTCAATCAGATGATAGGTTGTTTGGATTTGGATATGGATATGGACATGATATTTTTGTTTATAAAGAAAATAATAAAACAGAATCTTATTGTAAACAATCATATGAATATAAAGGAATATCAAATCCACTTTGTGGAAAACAATATCCAGAACATTTCACACCACAACGAATCATTATAATTGAAATGAAATGATTTTATTCATTATTGTTTATTTGAAAATGAACTAAAAAAGAATATAAAATAAAATCAATAAATGAATATGAACAGCCATTTCTTTCATCTGCCAATGAATGAAATGGTGAATATAAAAATGGACATATTTCATTCTTGTTTTATTTTATTTGAAATAATAATATTCAATGTGTTAATTTAATAAATAATAAAAAGAAATAAGAATAAAAGATAAATAAAAATATAATAAAATATTTATTTTATTCTTTTTTATTTATTTTTTATTTTATTTATATTATTTTATATTTATTTATTTTATTCTTCTTCTTTTATCTTTATATCTATTATATATTTCTTATTTTATTATTTATGTTATATTCTTATTTCATTTTATTCTTATTTTATATTTATTCATTATTATTCATTTCATATTAACAATGATAAATATCAATACAACATATAATAAATAAATAATATAAGATAAACAACAATAAATAATAATAAAATATAAACAAACAATATAAACAAATATAAAATAATAAAAATATCATCTAATATAAAATAAGAATAACAAAGAATAAAAAGAAGAAATAAATGATGTTTAGAACAGAAAAATTGACAAAAAGAAGAAATAAATGATGATATTCAAAGATAAAAATCAATATAAAATAAAATATAATAAATATAATAAATAATAAGAATAAAAATGATTATATCTTATTTTATTATTATATTCTTCTTTATGATTTGTCGCCATATGTCAAGATAGAAATATAGAATTAAATTATATTTACAAAATAAATAAATACAAAGAATTACAAGAGAAGCTAAGACAAAGT